CAGAAGGATTTCCATAACCAAAACAGGAGAGGAGGGATGAAAGTGACTTTTCCAGTAACAGGACTCTGCTTAATTCGAGTGTGTGTGCGTGTGTGTGTGTGTGTGTGTGTGTGTGAGTGTGTGTGTGTGTGTGTGTGTGTGTGTGTGTGTGTTGATGATGCTGATTAGCGTCACTAATCACCTCTGATGGATCTCAGAATGTCATTGGGTGCTGGGGTCAATGATGACTCACAGTTTGACATTACAGGGGGCGTTATGATTGTGCCTTACTATAAATGTCTGTCAGTCTTTATAGTGACAAATAAAGCATCGCCACCACTTCCCCTGGAACACTTTAATGAACTAAGGGGCCATTATTCCCTATGGCTATCGCTTCAGAGGTCTGGCTGTGCACTGGAAGATGGGGTCAATGTGTGGAAGGATACTTTCCGAAAGTAGAACAGATAATACGTCATGAGGTGAGTTGAGAGGTGGATTTTTAAAGATCTGTAAATAATCTGTATTTTATTTTGAATCTGTATATTATTCTTAATGACCACTCAAAGCACTTAACAGTTTGCCATTCATCCATTCACACACATTGGTACAGTGCATTTATGTGCTGCACAGAATAAGGGAGACTGGAGTCCAACCACCGACCCTGTGGTTAGTGGTCGACCCGCTCTACTTCCTGAGCAATCAAAGATGAATAAAAACAAAGTCCTGGGGGGAGGGGGTCATTTGTGGGAATTGTTGGGTAATTATTTTCAAGTCCTTTTTTATTTTCACAAGTCTGGTGTGTTTCTCTTGTGTGTATTTCTTTGTAATAATATTTTTTGAAATGAAGTAGTGTTTGATTTCAAGCAATGCGTCACAATAAAAATATTTGAGACAAATACAAGAATAACATAGTCCCTGTCAAATTAAAGAAAGCTGCAGATGATCAACTAAAAAAACACTTTATCGTCGTATCAACGCTCAGCCTCTGCCTCCTCTTAATCCCTCTCAGGTCTGGTGTTACCTCTTCACTCTGATTGGATCAGTGGACCAATCAGCCTTCTCGTTATTGATTACTTTTAAAAATATATATATAAAAAAA